CGGCGCCGAACGTCACACGTACACGTTTACACGTTTAAAACGTGCGCCTCAACCTCTCTATTCCCTTAAAGGTGGGACTTACAAAATCGTAATATCTCCGGTTTAACATTGAAATCCGCGAGTAATATAAAATCGGAGAGCGGAATAAAAATAGCAAATATTTTAACGGATATTTTTAAACTCCCGTCAACTACAGGGGCGGACTGGCCATGTGGAAGATGTGGAAAATTTCACATGGGCCGTATACAATTTGGGCCGTTTTTTCTAAATATGTACAGTACATAATGTACCGTTTGGTTAAGTTTAATTTTAAAAAATTCATATATTTTTTTTGTTAAGTAAGGTGTATAATATAGTTATATGTGTAGGCCTGTATCATTTTACCCGGCCATATCCTTATCCGAAATTAAATTAGTTCGACCGATCTGAGTCAAATACTACATTAGCCCAAACAGAAAGCATCCTAGGAGAAAAATAATCAAAACTACTTTCTAAACAGAGAAAATTGGTCATTTGTTTACATTGCTAGAAACTATTCACCTCTCCTGTGAATCCTAATGCTAAACTATAAAAATGCGAGTTATTAGTTTTGTACAGTACTTAGCCACCAAAGCGATGATTGTAATCATAACAAATTTAATGGCCACTTATATTATTTCCTTTATTTTAGGTAAGTAAAAAATGTTATTCAATAATAATTTCTCTGTATTCCAAACGATTTAATTAAAAATAATATATTTTATAGTGAGAGGCCGGGACCTCACCCCTCTCCAATAAGAAACTGGTTGTCGAATTAAGCAGTATTTTAATACAGTTTAATCCAGTAGCTACTCAACACAATATTATTTCAGAACTGCAACATTTTAAATCGTCATGGAATATTTTAAAGGAAAATGTCAATGAAACTTTTATAAAATTAAACGAAAATGAACATTCTACTGATGATCAAGTAGAAACTAATAAAGATGCGATTTTATCCTTACTGTATTGCTTGCAAAAATTGCTCTATTTGTTGTTATAGTATATTATAGCATGTTAGGTGGCGCTTATTCTATACTTGGTCAAGCATACAAATATCTGCTATCTATGTCTGTAACACAAATGTCCGGTGAACAACGCTTTTCTGTGTTAAAATTAATTAAAAGCAGGCTTAAGATACTTCAGTAGCGTACCATAGTGGGGGCGGTACTTTTTAGGGGCCGACAAAATTTCACAATAAATAATAATAATAGTGCTATCGCCCGGACAGTCCGGGAATCGGCTCGCTGTCAGGGTGAACTAGTAATTTTTTCATCCGAGGAAATCCTGCGTAACCTGTTGACCTTTTTCTTTTTTTGCGTGCACGATTCATTCACGTTCATATACACCACTAATATCCAATAGAGCTATTTTAAACAGGTCGCTGCACTATGAATTTTAGTCTTTTAAATTGAAATACCTAAATAAGGAGGACGAAATTTTCCTCCGCCCCGGGCGGCTGACACCCACGGTACGCTACTGAGATACTTATAAGTATCTGGCAAGAATATCTAGAAGCCTTCCTGTTAATGTCAGTGGAGAAGGATTTTTTAAACGAAATACATTCTGATGATGTCATTAATATTATTGCTCAACAAAGCAAACTTCTAAATAAAAAATTAATATTGTAGAATATAGACTTGTGATTATTGTAATTTTTGTCAATGTTGTATTTTGAATATATTTAAATATAAATAGAAAAAAAATACATTTGTTTTAATTTGTGGGCTGGGCTAAATATACAATAGCGATCTTACCTTTTTTTCGCGTGTAGTATAGAAATTTGTAATAAGATAAGTAATGAGGTTATAATAAAATATTGCGCGATTATTTTCGTATAATTAAAATTAATATGTATTTATTTCTTAGAAAATACAAGGAAGCGGCGCATCCACCGCTTCTAATGACGGCACGCTACTGGTATCCTTACAAAGCACAGAGAGACACTCGACTCCCAAGGCATATAAGCATTTGATGGCCTCGCAAGTAGGAAACAAAGCAATAACTAAGATAGGCTAAATAACAAAAACAACATTTAAATTTTTCTATCATTACAGAAGACTCAAGGACAAACATTTACACTGGAATTGTGTTTTTCTTATATTATATACTCATTTGATTTCTTTTTAAATCCACCACTTATAATTTAAAATGTAATTCATTTGTCATTAAACATAATTTTAGGACCCATTGCATTTGCACAGTTACAGTACTAATCAACAGGACCATTTAGTTCCTGCACGGAATATAGTAAATTAGGTAAGAACAATCCCTTTATTCTTTTCACATAGTATCAATACAAAAACACAGCAATTTTATTTTTGAAATTTTACTACTTCATCAATCAAAAATCAGACTTTGGAGAAAAACTTACAGGTCCTGCACTAACACTATTTTTTTCCAGGGCTCATATCTGATAGAACTGCATTTATGTTCTTACGGAATTCCCTCGATTGTATAATAACTTATCTATGACAATTTTGTTTAGTATAGATGAGATACTGTTTTGTGTATTCTTTATGCACATACCCAGAAAATAATTTGATGATTGCAGCTATTTGTGCAATGCATGCCTTATTTACATGCAATGCTGTAAGGTTCGGTGTTAAGGAATGTTCTATAAAAAACTTTCATTGTATTTTATAAATAATAATTTACGTAAAAGTGTTCTAAAGACAATTTCCTGCTTTTTGTGCCCTGTTAATGCATCAAAGTTAAGTGTTAATTGTTCAAATAATTTTTCCAAAAATTTATACTAATTGATCAATGTTTGTTCTAATTTTTTACATTTTCATCCAGTAACTTTATATGAAAGTTTACTTCATACAAAATTTATACAATCATATGCAAGAGTCACGTTAATGATTCAAAAATAAAAAAAGAACTTTTAAAAATTTTAATTAAGATATGAATAGAAAAGTTACTTACAAAATTTTTGTTTGACAAATATACATCACATTGTACAATTCAATTTCTATTATTATTTTTAATAATTACAATTTTCAAATTTGATGCAATTAGAATACTTTGAATTTCACAATCAAATATGCAAAATAATTTTAAAACAAAATTTCTTGCAAAAACTCCAAAACTTAAAACAGCATGAAGTATTCTTTGTTTCTTTTCTTTCACAATATACATTAATAATTGAAACATTACAAAACATTTAATAATGTATTTGTGATAAATCTCTTAAAATTGACAAATGTGCTTAAATAGTTTGTTAGAAAAAAGTATTGCGGAAAAAGTCCGAGCACCGCCGCTGGGGATTCGGTAAGTTTCGGTGTAGTTTACTTCTTGGCGTGTTCTTTGTATATTTTCCTGGAATACAAACAAGTGATTGTTAAAAATAGAACAGAAAAATTAAAATTCATTAATACTCTAGTCACATAGAATAAAGTTTCATACAGGTAAGTAAATCTATGAGCCCAATAGCAGGGACTGGTTTAATGTGACCACTGACTAGACCAGCGATTCCCAATGTTTTTATGGTCGTGCCTTACCTAAGCATCTCTAAAATACCAATGTCCCATGACATATATATATATATCTTATTATTCAAAAAACAACAACTATTTACATGGAGGAAGCCAAAAAGGTCATTAACTTGGTTTAAACAAACACTTAAAAATAAATAAAGTTTCAAAAGATATAATAGAGAACTAAAATTACATATAAAATTCATATAAAAATTATTTATAATATATTTAAGTACGAACATTTATGTATCAAGGCCCTTCAATAATAATAATAACTGTGCACACACACTAAATACTTTATTCTAAGATCGCCAGACGAATCGACATACGATGGAGTCTCAAGTCACTTAACTTGCTCCAAATAACAATGGAGGGGTTAGGAGTAAAGGTTACCTAAAATTTAGATTTTAAACAGAAAAGACACCAAGATGAAAATGGCAAGGAAAGAGGAAAATTTCAAAAAACATTCATAGCTTAATTTATGAATAATAAGATATAAGAACTATTAGCAGGCTTTCAAATTCACCATTAATAACTCATTCTCCAATTGCACCACGTTCGGAACCACAGGACCAGACTATAACATACTAACTACATAACCTAGCCTCAGTGCTTTCAGAGCAGAAAGATCTATGACCAAACTAACTGCTACTAATGTAATGTACTTATAATATTCCTATCAAATAATAATATTTATATTTAAAATATCATATTATACAAGTTTTGATGAATTATGGTCTTTAATCGGAATACACAAAAAAGATTAGAACAAACAAATGAATGAACATATTTTGGGAGGATGTTCACTATTTGGAAAGTTCTCTTGTCGATTAAATTAGTGAAGTCACACAAATATGTGAAACATCGTACAGTAATATAGAACAACTTACATTAATGATTGAAACAGGCTTTCTAAATGTGTGTGTATATATTATATATATATATAATATATATATTGTCCATAAAATAAATAAATAAATAAATAAATATATATATATATTTATTTATTTATTTTATGGACAATTAAATTAATTATTTTTGTATGTTTTGTTTTTATGAATGTTTTAAAAATAGTTTAGTTAAGAATAAATGTTTAATAAGTTGATCTGAATCCATTTTGAAGTCGTAAAAAATGAGTGGAATGTATCAAGGATTTTAAACTTGAACTTTTAGAACATTAATTATACTCGTAAGCAAGATGAGAATTTACAATGGGAGTTGATCTGTTCCCAGTGTAAATCCTACCAGTGTTTATTCTCCTAATGTACCAACACAACAGGGAAGTATGAAAGTCCATTTTCCTACCTCCCGAGAAGATATTGTTAGATAAATGGTTTTCAATCTTTTTGAGTTAGTGACACAGTGACAATCCAGTGTCCCTTATGTGTATAAAATAAACAAGGATTATGTAAAACTTGAACTATGGAATATACTATCAAAAGTAGCCATTCCATTTATTAGCAGAACATTAGTTCTGCTAATAAAATCAATGTATGACAACTAAGGGGTATAGTCAGAACTTAAGAAGACATACTGGTTTAAAGATTGGCAAAGGAGTGAAAGGGGCCATATTCTATCCCCATTCTTTGCTAATTTATACATAGACAAAGAAACCTGAACTCAGACAACTCTAATATTGGTTTGATTTTAAAATTGATGTTAGTCATTGATATTCTGATGCGCAGATGGCACTACTTTGCTGGCAGAAAATGAAAGACCTAAAATGGTTTATCCAGAAAAGCCAAGATTACAGTTAAACACTGAGAAAAATAATGTATCAGCAAAGAAATAGACTGTGTATAAAATTTCATTTTCCTAGGTTCTAATAGCCACCTGTGGCTGCATGGCATATTGTATGATTTTGTCCTTCTGACAATTTTTCTTGCTCTTTATTCTTTCACATTCTAGAACTTTCTAATCTTAATTCTTTCTTGGTGGTGAGGGCCACTTCCTAGAATTCATCAATATAATGTATACGAGGGCATGCAAAGAAATAAGTCACTTTTGAGCTAGTGCTTGAAGAGAGAAGATGGCAAAGAGACAAAGACGTGATATTACCAGTGTTCAAGAGAGATGGATGAAGTCTAACTTTGGCCCGGAAATTTCAAAGTTGTGTGTGTTGTAGTTGACATTTAAGTTGCCGAGTCCGAACATGTGACTGGCTATTGGAACCAAATATACAAAAACCTCAAAAACCAAGAAAAGGGAAAATTTTCTTAAGAAGCTCCCACGAGGACCTCACGATAACCAAATGACGTTTGCACTACCCGAGTATTCTTTCTTATCCTATCTATCATCTTCGCTACTTTATATCTCCTAGCTTCAACTTTCTTTTATTAGATTAAGTTTAGTGTTAAGGATTTTGGGAAAATTATTGTTGTAATAATTATTTTTGTTGTTTGTATTGGATAAGTGTTATCGCAATTTGGGGTGTCGTGGCCATTTTTATTTTGTAATTGTTGCGTCAATGATAAAGTTTAGGGTTAATGAAATGGAGTAACTGTCCTAGAATTAGTATCTTATTGAACCTGTACAGTTATGACATGCATAAATAAATTCATTTTTTTTAACGTTCTGCTTTATGTGTTTTTTTTTTGGTTTTTTTGGCCTTAGTGGGCTAAGAAAAACCTTGTCTCTCACATTTCAAACTGGGCCATCTAAACTCAAAGTTAAATGCAGAATACTACTTGGTCAAAGTGGAACCAGACAATATAGTATGATACTTCTGTTTTTCCACAAAGTTATAAAGTCAAATGTAGAGTAGTCAATGCTATTGTCTTTCCTATTACCACTTATGGCTGGTAAAGTTGAATTATAAAAAATTGGATAAAGGAAACCAAATTCTTTTGAGTTATAGTTCTTGAGACAGTTGTTTCACGTCTTGGATGGAAAGAAATTCTGAATTACATTGGGCTAGACACTGGAATCTAAGATCAAACTAAGGCTGACTTATTTTGGTCCTATGCAGTCAGATTCAGTAGAAAAGACTTATGCTTGGTAGGGATGATAAATCAGACAATGGGGCCAATAAAAAACTTGTTGAATACACTATTGAACATGATACTGGATTGATCCTCAAACTCATAGCTCACAAGGAATAGAGCAAGCTTGTTTGTAAATTCTGAAAGTGACATGACTGAACAGTTAGATTTGATTAGTATTCATCAAAGCAAAAAAGTTTATAGCGAACATTTTGATAAATTGCTAATATTTATATTTGATTATGAAAATATCTAGCATTTCATACACACTTTACCTTTTATGGTCCCGCATTCTCGTGGCAAAAATTCTCCAACTATTCAGCACTCAAAGTTTTGACTCCCAGTTCAATCCATCGTAGATGAATACAGAATATTCCTGTAAAAAAAGGAATAATCAAAAGTGAACTTTACATTCAGTATTGAATAGTTAATAAATTTCAATTTTGAACAATTATACTTACCAGTATTTATTTACGTTAACATTTCTGGATTGTGAATTGATGGAGTTCTACCTTTTTGGGCCATATTAAAAACGGGTCGCTTATATAATCTGTAGTGAAACTACATGATAGATCTTTTTTTTCAAAATTTCTGAAATATAAATTTTTTTTTTTAAATAAAAAATTTACACAAGATTAAACAAATGCAGTAAACTTCAGTTTCAGATTTAGTGCATTTGCTTAATCTGCCAATTATAATGATCTATTCAACAACCTTGACACTATGATTTACTTATAAAAATTCTTGAATAAATTTTTAAAATTAATTATAAAAAAAACTAATTGAAATATATTTTGCAGTTATCAATTCAAAGTAATAGAGGTAATCAAGAATGAATGATTTTTACTTAATCCACAACTCCCGCTTGGTGTAGATGCATGGCAAGCAGTCGTGGGTTTGTGTCCCATTCCCATCTTTTCTTCCATAATATCCCAAATTTAAATTGATTTACTTATTGTTAAATTTAACAAGAAATGGCGGCCTAACTGCCGACCTCCATCCGAATTACTTATTTAGTCACAATAGTCTGATAAAAGAATCCGGTTGTTTATTTGAAATTTAATTTTTTACTTAATTCTTTTCGTAGGTAGAAATCCGACAATTGAAATAAACTGATTATTGCTAGAGTTTTTTTAAATTTGCAAAATATCTTCCAAATTTTATATTAGATAATTTGTTAAGATTTGTAAAATCTTAAGAGAAGGCATAAAAACTGCATAATAGCTTCTAAACATTTAGCATTATGTGAAGGTTGTTTACTAATCAACAGTAATATATTTGATAATATAAGTAATTAAATTATGCTTTAGTAAATAATATATTTTTAAAAAGATTCTGGCTTTGAAATCAGATACTCAATATTTTAATATTTTAAAAGAGATTTTGTACTTTGAAAACTTTAAATTAATATATGCTTAAATTTTCATATAAAACTTTGGTTTTGAAGATGATCTTAAGGTTTTGGCTGAGGTTTTTAATTAAACACATTTCAATTTTGATGTTTTTTTAAAATGATTTTTGTGTTTTGTTTTTGTTATTATGATGCAACATCTGCTAATTTCTTTCTTTTAAACTTGTAAAAATGTGACAATCCCATATAAATCTTTACTTCACTCATCAATTCCTTACATTCCTAGTTTTAAATTAACTTAATTTCTAAAACCATATCATAACAGCTGTATTATTACATGCAAGAATTTTTAAATTTCTTTCCAAAATTTATTTTCATGTTGTAATTACTGAAAGATGATAATTACAAAAATTTTTCTTGCGCATAAGTCCTAAAAGTTGTTTAATTCTAAGGACAAATCAACCTATCTATTTCAAGTTTTTGAATATCACCACAATTAATTCTTTTTACCTCTATGCCCTTAATATAAAGTAAAACAGTCTACTTGGACCTTATTTTACTGTTTAGTTTCTGATTAGCAAAGAGAATTTCAATCAAAAACATCTTTATTTTCACCTGTAATGTGTAATCTCCACAGTTATCTGGGTGTACGACATACTTTGAGGGCATAACTACTACGGTATCATTAGATTATACATAAATTCTATATTATGATAACAATCAGATTTGTTTTTCATACAGCATGAATTAGATTAACGAGACACTTAGAATTAGCATATATAATGTGATATATTCGGAATTTCTTGATAATTATCGGTTTTACACCAGAAAAAGTTTCTTTAATTTCTACTAGAAACTAAAAGTGATGATTTCTTTTAAGATTTTTGTATTATTAAAATAGAGGGGAAAAACTTCCATAAAAGTTTGTGATGACGACAATGGTATTCAAACATGACACTGAAAAATAAAGAAAAAAAAACCATGTTTTGTTAATCATTTTCTGGTTAAATTTGGAGTCACAACTCTTTATTCAAAAATAAGCAATTCACACAAAGTTTCTTCACACATTTTCTACCTATTAAAATATTTGCCAAAATTTGATAAAAGTTAAAAATCAGATCATCATCAACTGTAACAACACTTCATTTGATTTAACTTACTTCACAAAACCATACAGTACAATGATTATCGAGGAATTCATCTAAATTATTGTTTCTTTATGTACTCTTTATTTAGATTTAACTATTTTACATTAATACCTGTAAATATTTGACATCCATCCTTGAAAATTTCGAGTAAAGTTTTTTTCCAAACTTAATTGAACATTAATAATTTTAAAAATCAATAATTCCAGTATTGTGATTGGTATGGCCCATACCACTATTACTTATATTGTAATTAGAACACATCAGTGAGCTTTCTTATATTGTTGAGGGTGACAGTACATCCCAGTTTGCCTGGGAGTGTGCCCTTGCCCTCAAGAATATCAAATAGTCTGTTTAAAATTTTATTCTAGGTCTTATAATGCAATATAAATAATATATAAACCATTAACTCTTAAAAACCATCCAAATTTTTGCAAACATTGTCACTAATATTGGTTTGTATATGGTAGAACATGTTAATTTCATATTTGACAATATTAAAAGTAAATTTTCTGAAATGATTAACCATCTCATCTAGTTTTATATTTTTAAACAGACATTATATACAAATAACTTATTTAAAAAAAAAAATCCTCAATCTAGTCACACTTACATCTAGTAATTGGAAAGTATACAGATCTGATAATTAATGTTAATATTTATAGAATTTATGGTATTACCAATACATTAAGTAATTGTTCTCAGTATGATACTTGTAAACCTATTTAAATCTTTAAACTTAATATAAAATTATGAATTTGTTTCAAATTATTAAAGAAGAAAAATTTCTAAAAATTAACATACCATCATTAACTTTTAATTGTGTTAATGATTAACTACATTGTATTTAAGGAAACACTTTGTGATAAGGAGGTGAAGAATCTCATTATTACAAATTAAAATAAACCATATTAACATCCATTATTTGATATTTGTCAAAATTTATACACTGCATTACTATTTTTAGCATTAAAATTAAATATAACTTCATTAATTTGTGAATTTTTTTTATCAATAACGTCTTACTTCCTTATGTAAATATTTTGACATTCTACCAATATAAAAATTACATTTTTTCTGAATTACACAACTGACAATTTTCCTTCATATATATATCATTACTGTACTGTAATTCTTGAACTTTTACAGACTTGTACTAACAACATACATGAATGTAAATATAAATTGGTGTGTTAAAGTATGGGGATAGGACATTAGATACCATCATGGTATATGTTGATTGTTCTATTTCTTTGTCACCATCTGCTAGTAAATTTGAAATTTTATTATATATAACATTTAAATGATGTAAAGAAATACAAGTTCCAAGTGGCATACCATATTAATTCACTATTTTTGACAAAAATTATAATAGCAAGTATTAGTTAAAGTTATTTTTACATTTTATAATTGTCTTAATATATATTCAACCATTGGATTTATTAGTTATTCTTTTGATACTCGAAAGTATTAAACCAACTCTGTCATATCATAACTCATATCCTGGAACTTTTCTTATAAACAACAATTGAAACTGTTCAAGTTTTTCAATCTTTTCCAATTCTCAAATGAAAAATGCATCATATGCACAGGTATAGATGTGCAATATATATGCTCCTACTACATTAAATAATATTGACATGAACTACCTATTATTATTAAATAAAATAAATATGAATACATATTCAATATTTATTAAAATGATTTATGAGTAATGGGAGTGTATCCTTTTGCCCTCTGGAAAAGTTGCAGTGGACACCCTTGATATCATACTTAAAATAAATAATTTTTACATTGATTCAAACATTTAAATAGTGTAAATAAAATGTTTTAATTATGTATCAAGTTTGGTTATAATTAATATAAAATTTATCAATTTTACTTATTTTCTTCAATTCATTTCTAAATATCATTTTATATTTACAATATTCTGTAAGAAAATGACTTAGTCATTTTTTTTCCTCTGCACATTGTATTAATATATAATGAAGAATCCCATCTCCAATTAATTTTTTAAACACACATGGTGCATTATCTGATTAATAAATCACTTAAAAATTAAATATTACGACGAAATCTCCCTTCAATAAACCTCCCTTTATCTATAGAGATTCATTTTATATGCCATAAATTATGTTAACTTTGTATTTACCAAATAGTATATTAACCAATTGAATAAATTTGTTCTCGGTTTGGTATTTCTGTAGTTTCAATAAATAAAGAAAAATTATTTGATAATCAAAAACTTTGAAAATAGAACATTTTTTATACATGGATAATATATACCATATATATTTTATTAAGAAACCATTTAAATTTTATCCAATATATTTTTTAAATAAAATTGCTCCTGGTGAAGACATATCCAAGTTACTTTTAATTTCTTTAAAAAACAGAATTTACAAAATTATAACAATAGGAAATTGTGTCTAAAATATCTTTCCACTTAAATGCAATATTACTTAATTTTCTAATTCTAAAATCATTTACTATTTGCCACAATTTATTTGCATTTTTCTTATTTTTTGCCATTTTCTTTATCATGGCTTATATTACATTTAAACAAGACATATCTGCTTAACATACAATTAACCTTATTAACATAAAAGAAAAAAACCAAAAACAAACTATTAAGCACCAATTTCCATAAAACCATAACTGTTATTACTACACTTTACCCATATTACACATGATGATAAAGGATTATAGAGTTAAAACTCAGAATATATTTTAAATTTAAAGAAAAAGTTTAAATATTACATTCAGTGTCAAACCATTGTTATTTAGCCTTTCTGGGTTGGTAAGATTATGATCTGTTTATTGGAGTATTAAATTTCAAATAATTCCAAATAAATTATTTCATTTTCTTTAAGCAGACTTTCTCTTTTTTTTTTTTTTTGAAAAAATATATGAAAGCAATGTTTTTCTTTATTAATAAATACCAGTCTTAAAGATTTTTATTTTCATTAATCTTAATTTTAAGGGATAGGAACCACTTTGGCCCTAGATAATTTAATCCACTAGATTACCCATATTTCATGAACAGAATTTGCAGGGTATTCACCTTTTATTTTATACGTATCATATATGATAAATGTATTTTTTCTTTTACTAATTCCATTAGAAATTCACCTTTGCTATGTATCATTAACTAACATTTCATATATTGAGTTAAAACTTGTGTAAGTTAATGTTTATTATAATATCCTATATAAGTAAAATATTTAGACTAATACGATGCAATATTTGGCTTAATACATAATACCAATTTGTTAATTAACAAAAACTGATTGGCATTAAAAATTTCTGAAATGTCAATTGAAATAAAATAATCACAGTAACTTATATTAAACAATATTTAACATCAACTCACCTTAAAATGAAACCAATTAAAATTAGTTTAATTTTACAAAAATCACCTGTTGGTACGTACAGTAACATTGTCATCATTCTGGTCCTTCCCAGTCTCATTGTCTAGCTTTGAGTGGATTTAAAATATTTTTTGAGAATCAATTTGTGATGAATTTTTTTAAAATATACCACCTTATAATTTTTTAAACACTTATCAGTTCATTGTGAAACAAATATATAATTTTAGACCTCACACTCTTGACATATTCACTTTATGCAGTACTGTATGTATCCTTTATACATTTGTTTGCCAATACATGTTTTACACCTCTTCAGTTTGCTAAAATACAGAATTATTACATTTATATTCAGTATTATCAAATTTGCAGAAAATTTGAAAGAGGGTGTTGTATTCAATCTTTAGGAAATAGGACATAAAAACCCTTAATGTCCTTCAGGTTGGGAGTTGTTCACGAGGCTAACAACTCCAAAACAGAAAAATTAATATGTTACGCAACTCAAGGACAAAAATAGCCAGACTGAAAACAATGGAACGACCCAGGCAAGGAAAAGGGATAGGAAACCGGAAAAATAATATATATGTGGCTACATAAAATGTAAGGACTTTGAATAAACCAGGGGCTCTACAGGGATTCAGACAAGAGATGAAGAAATATAATACAGGTATTGTCGCTGTACAAGGAGATCAGGTGGAAGGGTTATGGTATTTTAATAAGTGGTAACTACACAATTCTGTATAGTGCAGGGGCCAGTGGTACAATTGGTGGCACAGGATTCCTTGTTACCAACAAGTATAAAGCAGCAGTTTTGAATTTTAAGCCTGTAAATGAGAGGATATGTACTTTGAGAGTGAAGGCCCATTTCTTCAACATCACTTTTGTTTGTGTTTATGGACCTATAGAAGGAGATGAGGATGATATGAAAGATGCATTTTATGGTAGTTTGAAGCAAGAACTGGGCAGCATATCAAGGCAAGATGTGAAAATTGTGCTGGGGACTTCAAATGCTAAGGTAGGAGGGAAAGAAGCCTTTACAGAGACAGTGGAAAAGGGAAGTTTGCATGATGTTTCAAGTTATAATGGGCAAAGACTTAGACTTTGCCATGGGAAATGAAATGATGGTGAGAAGTATGTGGCTCCAGAGAAGGAATATAAGGAAATTACTTGTGTTCACCAGACAGTACTACATTCAATCAAATTGATAATCTAGTAATTGACAGGAGGTATGATTCTAATATTCTTGAGGTTGATAGTTGGAGGGCTGACTGACTCGGATCATATGATCAGAGTGAAATATAGTCAGCATGTTGCGATCTACAGATTTGGAGGGAAAAGGAAAGTTCCAAGAAGATATAATGTCTCAAAATTAAAGATAAGGGAAAGTACAAGGCTGAATTAAAGGAGAACTTTGAAGCTAAACAAAACTGGGCTTTGGAAAGTATTGAGGGAAAGTGGAATATAATGAAGACACTACAGGAAACTGCAAATGAGGTTTTGAGGACAGAAGAAGGGGTGAAAAGACCGGGATGGTTTAATGACAATTGTAAAAAAGGGTAATGATGGAGAGAAATGAGGCCAGGAAAAAATGTTAAAAGAAGAGGCAGACAATCTGTAGACGATAGTGGAAATACGGGAGAAGAAAGATGCCAGGATCAGTGGAGGCTGGTCATTGCATGCCTGATTAATAAACCACAGTAAAACAGTATTTGCTTTTGTCTGGGAAAGTTGCTGCAAGGGAAGACAAATATATCAAGTTAAATGGTGTCAACTAAGTGAGATGTGAAAAATTCAAGTACCTGGGAGTTCTGGTAACTAGTGATAACTTAAAAGGAGAGAGATAAAGGCAAGGATTGCAGCAGAAAATAGAGCTTACTGGGCTTTGTAGAAGATTGAAGGTGGCTATTTATCGCACAATTATTAGACTGGCAGTGACGTATGGTTCGGAAACTTCAACAATGACTGTGGCTGTAGAGGAACTCTTGAGAAGGAATGGGAGAGGAAAATTCTAAGGAAGATATTTGGGGCAGTGTATGAGGCAGGGCAATGGAGGATGCAGAAAAACAGTGAATTGGTAGAACTGTATGGTTATACTGATATAGTTGTGGAAATAAAGAGTAACAGACAGATGGTTGGGGCATGTTGAGTAAATGTCAGATGACAGAGCTGCCAAGAAAATCTATAGAGGAAATCTGGGTGGCAGGAGATGTAAAGGAACACCTTTCACAATCATTTGTCTTTTATTTTTCTTACATAAATTACATTAAAACCAACTTTCAGTTTACTTGTGTCTTGCAAGTTATTTTCCCAATATCTTACATTATACACACACTATTACTTGTTATTCAGTGAAGTTTTTACTTTATACATACCTTCACTTTCAGTTTTTTATTTTAATAAATTTTATATTTTAACATAAAGTTTTAGCTTATATTGATGTTTTAACAAAACACATTTGACACAATCACAGTGTTAGACATTAACTTCATGAATGTAGTGGTTCCCAAACTTTTTTGATTCTAGGCACCCTTGCTAAATGCAATTTTCCCAAGGTGCCCTAACATAATAATAATTTTTATAAATTTTGTGGTGTTGCTGTGAGGAAGTCACAGCACCCTAGGGGAAACGCACACTTACACTTTCATTTAAACACATTTATCATGTTCACTTCCTATTATTTTTCTCTTAATACATTAGATAACAATAAATAATAGTTTTTCATATGCTATATTTATTTTTGTATTTATTTAATTTGTGCATAATTTATTTTACATATTTATTTTACTAATTTTTCCTTTTCCATATCAACCAACACCACATATACATAGTATTTGTAGATGTATGTTATATATGTACACACACTTTTTACGTATTTACATTTCTATACACTTTCTAATTATTTACATATTTTCCCATTTTTTCACTTTACTTTTCTATTGTATATATTATAGTACCAAGAAGAAACATAATAAAATTCAGTCAAATAATGATTAAATATTGTATACAATAATAAACCATGCAATTGCAATTATTACATTTTGTCAAGTGTTAGCCTTTTAAATCACTGCTGAAAGCACCAAATGCAATTCTAAATATTCCAACCAGCATACTTTTATAAAAATACCAACTTACATTCAATATCATAAAAATCATTACAATCTCACAAAGTTGATAATATATAAATATATCATTTTAATAAACCTCATGACATTGAATCTTGTTTAAATTCTAATGAGTGATTGCATTTATATAATTCTAAAACTGAAATTTTCCTTTATTGAACATATTTTCAGATGAATTAATAATGTTCATTGATGTAAAATAAATTTTTATGACTAATAAATTTGAATAAATGTTAATTAAAAACTTTAATGAAGATGGCAGCGTAACTTATCTGTTGTACCAAATTTGTAATTCTTTTGAACTTGCAAGGAATACATCACTTCCCTTTACAAATCAAAGACTTTAAAATTGTTTCCACCTTGCATCTACTATTGTATACATCATCTCATTACATATTTTGGCCACTGTGTAGCCCTCTTCAGACTGTAGCAGAGGAAAATACACACACAAATTACAAAACCTCAGTTTATATGTACAAGTACATAAATTTTATAAACGAAACTTACTGTATATTGCTAACAGTTTCCATAAAGCTATATATATTACTTTTAAAAATTTATTTTAAAAAGTTTTTAAAACCAATAACTCATCGATTAACACTGTCCACTACCGACCAGTCCTTTGTGAAAAAACTTCTGATGTATAAATGCAAAATTGCCTTAAAAGTCTCCAACATAATAAAAACCTGGGTCTGTACTGTAAAAGTTATAACACTGCATTGTGTTAAAGATAAATTGTAAATAATGGTATCGGCACCATTTTTATATTTCACAAAACTATAAATGTAGACCTATATTAAGATTATCTTTAGTACTATTTCTTCTAAAATTATATATTTTAATCATACCTTTTTATTAAGTCTTCTAGGACAATCATTCAACTGCATCTTCTATTTCCATTTTCACTGTTTTTTTTTTATCTGTTGTAGTTAAATTTTAACATACGTAAGCATATATAAATAAAAATTATTTTCAAAACATTACATGGTTTATAGTATCTATAAAAACCTATTTTATTATATTTTTGCAACTATTTTTATATCTAAATAGAATTAATAAGCATATTAACTATTTCACATTCAAATTTTATACCAGAATAAATCAAATTGGCCAATTGTACAATGTCATTCGCATTAATCACTTATCAGTTGAGAATAGTAAATCACTGACACCATTTATTTCGAATAACTTTTTATGGATTCTTGCCATAAACAATTTAGTAGATTATCAAACCCATAAATAAATGTATCCTTTTGCCTGTAACTATTATTCACAAAAAATTTCTTTGCTGATATGAAGTTGAAACCTTTAAAACGGGAAATGTGTTATCATTATAGGTTTGTACACAGCACATAAATATATTAAATATTTGTACATACTGTAATATATTATTAATTATATTAAACCTCAATTCTTTATCTTATTTACTTCTCTTTACTATATAATCTTGAAAAACTACTAAAAAGTATCAACAGTCTACTGATGATCTATACTTATCACTTGTTTTGTCTTATAATGTTGTATTCTGTACGCATCCCTTTTTATACACTCAGAAATTAAATAAAACTAAAAAAACTGTATTATATTTTATAATGATTATATTAAAAAGTAATTAAAATAATTATCTAATTTCTCAATGATTGTGGCTTACAATTTATAGTTTTCCTTCTTTAATACACACCTGTACTTGTTTTATAAGCATTATCACAGCTGATTTCTGTCCAACCTGTATTATTCAATTCAAGCAAGTTTTTAATTCATTTTTCTGTGTATCATCTAAAGTTAATCTGATTATTTTCTATGAACACCTATGGTTTAGATTTAAAATAATACTTTGAAAAAATAACTTACATCCAATTTTAACCAATATAACTTCATTATACATAGATTACACACACTTTCATACATCCATAATGTGAATTGCTCTCCAGTTTTCTGCAATATATTGTTTCGCTTACATAATATTTTAGTTTCTTTGATATCATATAAGAATAAAACTTACAGCTATGGAAGACTAATATATTAAATGGAAAAGTTAATATATTGTGAAGTGAAATAAACCTGTTATTCTTATCGAAAAATATTATGCATTAGCATCTGAAGTATTTTCAATTATTATTTTTTTTAAATTAGTCTATTTTCATCTCTTAACACCAAAAAAATGTTTAAATCCTATTTACCTTTTCACACTTGTAGGTATGTCCATCACATTAAATTTAAAGTTAACCTATATTATTTTAAAATCTAGTTACATTTTATTGCTCCTCAAAATGAAAAACATGTTATCCTTTAATTAAATTCAGATAAAATTAGTTCTTAAAAGAAGGTTTATGATTTTTATATTGGTTCCTCAATTGTTTGTGGATTAAAAATTAATATTAAAATGTTTATTTCCATTATGCTCTATTAATATGAAATATTTCTACTAACTCTAAATAACTATAAAATGGACTAAAGGAAAAGACAGATCAAATCTTTAGATACAAAGGACAATCACAAAAGTTTATTTTATGAAACGAAAAAGCTTAGATTGTTGAAAATGCATTTCCAAGCAGGAATGCAATTTACCACTTATTGGAAATTCCATATACCAACAATTGCAAGCAGACAATTCTATTTTAACAGATGCTGTCCGTGAATAAAGCTGTTTCCATTGTTTTCAAGCTCGGTTACACCAGGACAACGGTATAAATTTTCAAAATATTAAATACGAAAAAATTCAATACATAAAAATTAAAGTTTTATAATAATTTCAACATTAATAAATTTAAATGTTGCACTTGATTAATAGCAATATTTAATATTTATTAATTATTAAAATGTGAAAAATTTTGCCTTTAAGAATAATTGCAAAAAACTAATAACAAATATCTTTTTATGGAGTTTATAATTACAAAAACAATTAAAGTTATATATTGAAAAACTTATTAATTCTGAAATTTAGTTTTTTCTTTAATGTAATACATCTACTGTATAAAATACTTAAGATATTAATACTTTTGTGATAACACTTCTCTTGATTCAAATTTTTGGTTAGGATCTAAATCAATGTAATAAAATCGATCAACCTGGCGAATGAATGGCACAATTTATTTTTAAATTTATATAGAAAATTTTATAAATTATTTTACATTACAAATGGCTGAATAGTTTTCTGTTGATTAATTTATATTCTATCAAGATCTATCTAATTCTTAAAAAAACTTTTATAAATTTTCACAATCGAATTACAGTATCTTTAATGCAATTTTATAAGAGTTTTAATTAAAGAAATATAAAATTAATCTTCAAAAACCATGTATTATTTATTTGTATAGATTTGAAACCTATTCAATCAGAATCAGTTTTTAAAAGCTAATTTCAAACAAATTATTAAAGTTTTTTTTTAGAAATTATAATAAATCAGAGACTCAAAGATTTATTATGTCACTAATATTATTGAGCCTGGTGATTACTTTATATGCAGAAGAGTATTTTACAATATTGACCAAATATTACAACTTAATATACGTATTATTTTAAAGTAAAGAATTTTGTAATTCCAATGTAAAATACGCATTTGGACAGTGATACAGTCTGGCCTTCATTTTTCTACAATAATAAATTTTACAATTATCTAACCTTATCCACAATTTTTAAATAAATTTTTTACAACCAGTACCCTTAAGGCCACCTATTGTATTCATTTTCTAAAACCTTAAGGCCACCTATTGTATTCATTTTCGCAAGTCTTGTTTTTACTTCAACTTTTCTACAGTAATTATTAAATTTTACAGTTGTTTACATTAACCAACATTACTTACATCTTAAAACACAAACCACCTGTTTCAACAAGTCCTATTTAACATTGCTCCCTTAAAGCTTTTAAAGTTATATTTCAACATTTTAACTGTTCTACTTTCGGAATTTTGATGTATGACATCATCCCAACATTTGTCTACATTCAGACTATTTAAATTAATGAATTTTTTTTCTTTACATAATACAATGACACTATTTTAATCAATATTAGTTTGTACTCTTACAATGAAAATACCACAGTAATTTGTATTTGATCCGACTGAAATTTAAAAAACACGAAAATGCAAACTTTCAATTTCCTTTCTTTTTCGGCTATATAGTATTTTTTATTTTCACATGTACATACTATGCCACTTATTTCCATTTTATCCAAATTTTATTTGTTTTGTTTTTATTAATTTACACTTTCTTTATAATCCTGAACTTATACATATAATAAGTAAATATAAAAAGTTAGATAAGTAGGTCTAACATAAGGGAATTATAAATACGAATGATTACCAACACCACTGTGTTTAACATTAGAACTATTCTTATATAACCATTTATCTACTACTTTTAACCAAATTATTTTCCTCTTAACCTCTCATTTGATCTAGTTGTTTCACATACATTTCTATACTATACTTCTTTTAATAAAATTAGATCAATTTAGTGACAATAAACTTCATATGGTATTGTCTTTTGTACATATGCTTTTCATACTTTTTAAAAAATTTTCAATTGTAACATCTAAATAATTAATATTTAAAAAATATTATTGTAACCATCTAAAAAAACTGCTTACATTTCAAATTTAATGTTATTTAAATTATTGAATTCTAATGTCATTCTGATTATTTCACTATCATCAATTATTATTATGCCATCTACGTAAAATTTTTAGGCAATTAAGCATTTCTCTGTCTACATCAATTGCTTATTTCTACTAACTTGGGATCTATTACCATACCTATGTTTATATTAGATTTTTATAGACAAATAGATAACACTTTAAAAAGTAAAATTCTATTATTTTAAAAGAACCATAACATTCATAATTGATGAAATAGTTCCATAAATGACAAAGAGCACACCTCACAAAAGACCTTTACTTATAGGCCACTGCCAGAGTTAGTTTTATCAAATCTGTAGTTTGCTTGTTGTTGGACTGTATTAATTTACTACTAAATATGATAAAGCCCTTTCATAAGAATTCTTATAGTTTTTGTAATTTTTAAAATTCTAATTTTCCAATTTTGTAAATTTATACTTATTTATACTACTATTTATATAGTAAACACAACCTCAAATGTACGAAAGGTTACACTTTCCACACTTGCGTGTGTCTTCAATCTAATATCATCAATTTAATACTTTACTTTTTTACTTAATGATCTATATTTTCCCTTTATATATCATCATTATTTACCATTTTCATTAATTTATTTTTTTTCTTCTTCTATTGGATTGTTTCATTTCTCAATCTCTGACACAATCTTCTATTTATTTTCATTAATCTATTTTTCTGTAGTAATAACTAATTGTTATGTTTTATCTGCTCTTTATTTTAAAATGTTGAATAAATAGTGGAAAAAAAATTTCAAAATTCTCACCTTTAATTCTTATGTATCTTAAAAATTAAATTTTTTAACTTTGATAAACAATATACACAATCCTTAATTTTTAAGATAATATTTTAAGTTGGGTAAACGTACTGAAATTTAAAATTTTTATGGTTAAGAAATGTGAATGTTGGGTATTTTTTTCATCGTTAACGTGGGGATGGCTTATTTTGCTCATTGTGCATTGCCATGTATCATTTGTATAAGAAAATATTTGCCATAGAAATGTTTCATCAATAAAAAACAATTTGCGCAGATCTACAATGTGGAGACATATTATTGGTTTATACATATGTATCCTATTAAATAAATTTTTGCGTTGCTTATATTTTAACCGAACCATTAATTTGACACTGAATTACTTAACAAGTTGACTTGCAAATAGTTTGGAATCATAACACATTTGAAGATCATGATTGCAATGAAGTCTAAATAGTGTAATTTAAGAAGTTTTAACTAGCTTGTGGACCAATTTCATTTTAGATTATCTTTTCTTATGTTTCTAAATTGAAAATAAAAAACCAAATCCAATAAATTCATTAAAATTACCAACTAAAACAATAAAGTATCAGACTATCTTAATAAAAATTGCTATAATTAACAATAGAATCTTACATTATGTTTAAAAATTATTAAAAATATACAAAAAAAAACCAACATATTTATTTACTTATAATATACAAATGATTACAAATATATTGTGTATTCTGTTAATATGTAGGTTACGGTAGCATAAATTAAGAATCTTGTGTTAAATTTCTGTAAAACTGAATTAATAAAACAAATATTTTACTCCTAAAAATTATTTAATTTTATTAAATAAAAACCATTTAACAATTTTACTTAAAATTAAGTAATGAAAATTTAAAAAATACTGGTAATTTAAGAATATTTATAAATTAACTTTAAACTTGTTATATCTGCTTAATTTGTCAGACAAGAAAATATTTTTACGTATTTCTTTTTCCATTATATTCTGAAATATGTTTTCAATTAAAAAAAATATATCTAAAATTACAAATTATATACTAATTTAATTTGTGGAAAAAATTTATTAAAAATTAAAATATTCTATTTAATTTATTCCTCCCAAATTCATTTGAATAAAATATTTAAATCAGTTAAAAATTAACTACTAAAAGTTAAGACAAATTTAGTATTGATATAAAATGTAGTTCAAGAATTGATTCAGAGGTTTAAGAGTAAAAACCAACCATATAAAAACAGTATTCTGGAATGTCCGCTGAAGTAATTCTGTAAAATTACCTATTTGTTTATCTACAGATCTACCGAAATAATTACCTCATTAACAGACAAAATTTATATAAAAGCAAAGATTCTCCAATCTAATTAGCCATTAAATTTAATACAAATACTATTAAGAATGCAAATTAAATTTGATGGTACCTTGTAAAAGTTTAAATTTTAAATACTATTTTTGCGAATAAAGATTATAATTAATAAATTGAAAGAAACTTAATAAAACAACCACCATTAGCAAAATTCGTGCTTTGAAATTTTTAGCGAGTTTTAACAAATCTCAAAAATTCTTATATAATATTTAAAATTTTAACTCTTATTCATTTTCAACTGAATTATAATGCAATGTAATTCAATGATAGACTATGTAAATTAAAACTTGTTAAATCTTGAAATAAACATTTTTATAATTACTGTTTATTTGAAAATGTAATCACAAGAATAAATATCCTTATTTATATAAATTACAAATTTTATAGCATATACACATCTCTCTAAAGATCTCGAATGGGTGAATGAAATCAAATATAAAATAAAGCCTGTAAGATCAACTGGGGGGAAAAGAAAAGGTTTATACTTTTAGTAATTATAATATATCAATTATAAATTTTATTTTAATTGTAGTCTTTAATCTAAAATCGTTTCAATTTAACTGTTATTTTACTTTTTCGTTGCATAGAACCGAAACATTTACTTGTGTGGATGATCAGACAAATTAAATTTTGCTTAAAATTTGTTTAATTTATATAATCGTAAAACATTCTAAACTATTCACATATTTAGAATAAATAATTTATAAATTAACCTTAAAATAGTTTGTATTATAATAATAATAATCTTTATTTGTTGTAAAAGGCTTTCGCCTGTTACAAGGGCGTTTTCTTTTGAAAAACACGTATTAATTTAACATCTCATCTATTCTATTCTTATCAACACTGTTATATTCTATTTTCTAATCTATAATTTACATTAACATTTTTTTTTTCCTTACAATTATCATTTAATAAATTGTTTTAACATAGTTATATAACACATAAATTGTGTTAGTATTAGCTTTGTCAAAAGTCTTAAACATTTTCATCTCACTATTACAGTTAGCCAGCAGTCCCATCTGGAGCCTTTGTAATTTATCTTTTTCATTACAGCATTCACATATATGAACTCTAGACATCAATAAAATTTTGATACATTTTGGACATTTAGTTTGGGTATAGTCTATATATTTATCATTTATAATTATTCCATTTTTATTTAGCCTGATCTGTATAAAAAACTTTTTGATGTTAAAAGCTAGATTTGTCAGTATATAATAGTTTGTATTATAAATCCATACAAAGTACATTTGCCTTAAAAGTTTAATATTAAAAAGTATAATTAATGATTTCCAATTTGCTACTTTGACATTACAACAATACCTTGTAAGTGAATTTTGATTTTTATCTTTACTATTTATATACTGAAAGTAAAATATAAAATTCTTTATGTTCACTAGAAATTCTTAAAGGATAAAATACTTCTCTGAAGATCTGTGTAATCCCTAGAGAGATTTACATTAAATTTTTCAATTAAATACACTTGTAAGAATACATAATTTTATACAAGTAAAAAGAATTTACTAATCTAATAAGTGAAAATAAAATACACTTTGGAGTGTATCAGACATATACTACCAATATATAACTTAAGCTTTTTGCATTGGTTAAGCTGTGTGTGTATACACAAACATACAAATACACATGCACAAATAACAACTATTTAATTTTTTGTTATTAAGATAACTTTCCCTAAAAACTTCATATGAAAATCAAATTGAATTTTTCATTCCTTATCTATAATTAATAACTTTTATTTCTTCTAAATGAAATACTTTTAACTTTGTAAGTAGTACTTTAAATTAGCATCATCCAACATTTTACCTTATATCAATTTATACAACTTAAACAAGAAGTTAAATTGTTTTATTCATTACTATTTAATGTATACCTTTTTACATAAACAAAAAAAAACAGTTTTATACCATATATTAGGGCTTTTAAATATTTGATTACTGGTGTATAACATTATTTGGTTATCACAGAAACTATAATGTAAAAATTATAGAACAAATTACAAAAATTAAAATGCAATTCAGAGCTTGAAATTCCTCTTCAATTAGATTATTATTACATATAAAACCAATAAATTTTTGCAAAAACTACAGCTATAAAATAGTAAACAATCCATTTTTAAATTACATTTGGAACATTTTTGTTTCATTGTTTTCATTAGTCATACAATTAAGTCTTGGTGTTGGACAAGATTACATTAAAATATATTTACTGTAACTGGAAATGGTTATACTGAGGGAAGAGAAAAAACAACAAGTCCTAGTTCACAAGAACATCCAAAGTGGAAAAAATATAAAGTTAATAATTTTTTAATATATAATTTACAGTATTATTTGATTTAAAAAATTTTTGTATATTTCACAGTTCTATTTTAATTGTATTTGTTCAAATCATAAATGTACCCCAGGAAACTTTTAATCTCAATTTTCACATTTTTGAAGTAAAATTTAAAATATTGATGGAGTTTGTAGTAGTTATTTTTCAACCTATTATCCATATCATTCTCAATAAGTTGTACTTAGAAATTGGTGATTACTATTTCTTACATTTGTATTATTTAGATATCTACACCTATCATCAATTCTCAAAATGTTGATCATTAATTTAGTATTTTCTATTTTCTTTCAATTTAGTTATTTCTAAATACTCATTAAATCCATGTTTTATTGTATATCTTTTATTTTTTTATACTTTATAGTATTTTTAACAATTTCACAACCTTTGCAATTACAATGCTGAACTACTGCATTACAAGATCAATAAAAAAAATAACCATGTTCCCTAATTCAAATATCTAATTGTCTACCTGTTTCACCTACTGATGTTTTTGGTGCTTATAAAACTGCAATTAAATTTCTGAACTACTACTACAATCAAATTTTCATATTTTCTATTACTAAGTACTATATCTCATTCTTTTGAATAGTATTACACTTTGGTACTATTTGTATTTTCTCAATTCTTTAATTTCTTTAAAAAGACTTTTTATATATGGAAAATTAAATATGTTTCACACAACTCACCAGATTTACTTTTTTAATTTTACATTCATAAATTTATTTAACCATTTTTGTATTATATACTTGAGACGACCATTTAACAAGTACATTTTTACATCATTTATATCTTTTTACATACTGTAATTTGTTTTTCATATTTTTGTATTTATTTCAGTTTATTACATCTAGGAATACTAATCTACCATTTTCTCTTTTTCAATTAAAAAATTTATTTATATGCTTTAAAGAGATCCCGATATATCTATTTTGTTTTCATTGTATATTAAAAAACAGTCATCTACATATTACTATACATTATTATTCCGTTTTTCTATTTATTATTATATTATCATATTCTGTCATGGCCAATTCTTGTTTAATAGTTCTGTTGTTTTGTAACAATTAACATAACCAGATCAAGAAAAAAAATTATTATAAAATAAGTTTACAAAAAAGCAAATACATTTCCAACCTTACTTTTCAATTATATCTATTATTTTTTAAACAATTTTTTGTTCAACATGTAATATTTTTTTATATAAATTTATTATGATCAAATTTACTCCATAAATTCTAAAATTAACTAAAATGGTCAATAAAGTATATAATGATTAATTATTTCTAAACATTTTGAAAAAAATGAAAAATTAAAAACTTAATATTTGTTATACTTAAATTTCTTAATCTAAATAATTAAAATGAATAGTAATTTTTTAAATTTAAAGATCACTTTTCCTAGGAAAAAATATATCACTTATTTCTGCTCAATAAATATCATTTAAACCTAAGCATATAGTGAAGTACCCAATTCCTCACATTGCACAATTGGCTGTACCAAAGCCTCCATAAAATGTATAGATTTGAAAAATTGACAAAGATTGTCTTACAGTTTTATAACCAACGTCACACAATTACCGATAATGTTTAAGTTTTTTAAATAATGGTATATTAAATCACTGATATAACAGTAACTTAAACCATAAACAATTGAACTGATTAAAGCATTTACAATGGTTAACATCAAAATTCACTTATCCAATACTCAAATATGAATATGTTATATTAAATACATATATTGGTTTTATAATTATCCCAAAGTTTTTAAATATTTACCAACATACAATTTCTTAACTGTAATTTTATTTGTGCATAAATTTTTTTAGAGTGATATTGATTTTTTTTTTTTCGAAACAGCTTGTCCATAATTTTATACTATTAATCAGTATGTCATAAAACAATGTATGTTCATTAACAGCATAAACAACATAATTCTAATATTAAATACCCATTTATATAATAATTAAAAAATTACTTTATATTGTTGTCGTCGTGCAAGTGCAGCCTCTAAGCCAAATGCAGTTCATCCTAAAAG